CGCGTGTGGGGGGGGGGGGGGATTGGGGGTACTGTAAGGACTTCTCCCATAATGGGATGTAAGGCGGAGGAATAACGGGACATTCAGTAGACCACTGCTAGGGTGCATGTCTCATCTCTCTCATATATCTCTATCGTTATCTAAACATTGTTTGCAACTATATTCAAGGAGTGTGCCACCATAATGCCTGTTGATATAAATATCTCCTTTACTAATCAAGTAAGCATCCCTTCAAGGAGCCTGGTGTAGACTGTTATCACCCTTTACATGTGGGGCATTACTCCTGGACTAAGGCTTGTCCCTGGCAAAAGAGGTGGACACCAAGGTCAGCAGTCATATGTGGTTGAATGGAGGGCCTGGGATCTGGACAGGCTAGGCTGGTAAGCTCTCAGGGGTAAGTGTAGTGTGTTCCACCCTGCTAGTCACGGAAACCCTGGAGAGCCGCATGATAAGGAACCACAGGAGCCTCATGGATCACCCAGGCTGGCAGACAAACCTTATGGTACATGGCAAGTCAAGGGCTGACACACCTGCAGTTCTGCTGGGATTGCTAACAACAATTAACTTTTATTTATGTGTTTGAAGCAGAACTAAATTAATAATAGGAGAAATGCTACTGTATGTCTCTGCTGCAATGAAACAAACTTACCTGCCTGTTCACAGTCTTCTTCAGAATGTCCACTGATTTGTGCATGCTCAGCTTCAGTGTATATTCTCAGCACACCATGGTGCTGGAATGAATGAATTCCTGTGCGCATGCGTGAGAGTAATGTCATTTCAGCCTAATCAGTCAAGATGGCCAAAGATCCCGAATCCAGAAGAAGGCCAGGTGAAGAAGGCACCAGCAAGGGAAAGCAAGTGATATTATGCTTTAAACTGTTGCTGTGACCAATAAAAGTTAGCTGCGGTTGTACTTTAATTCGTTTGCCACTTACTCAAACGGTTAGTTCACCTTTAAAGGAGAACTATGAGGTGGGTGCTTTTCACTACCCTCATAGTTCTAGCCAACCTGTGACAATGAGACTGTCACAGGTCGGCTCAGTAGATCGGGAAGTGAGCGAACACATACCGGAACTCGCTCATACAGCATGTCATATTTTATTTTGCTCATAGTTGCAACCTAGGAAAACATATAGTTTGCCGATATACATGGCAAAGCCTTTCTGATCCTCTCATCTCACTGTTGATTGAAAACAGAAGACTTTCTGCAATAATGATTTAGACACCATGTGATGTGTTATCTTGGCGGGGATCCTTTATTCATGGAATGAAAGTGGATTTTAATCAAAATAATTATGTGTTCTGGTGATGTGACATAATCTAATGATATATGTGAAGTATGAATTTCCTGATTTATAATATGAAGTCATTTTTGGTTATTCCACTATCATTTTCTTTCATTAAAAAAGGATTTTGAACTATAAAGAAAATGCTAAATAGCAGTTTTAATGTTTTGTTTATGGTTGTGCTTAGTTTCATTTGTAATGTGAATGGAACACTTTACAATTTATATTTTATAGTCAGTATGGTCAATAAAAGAGAATATTATCACACAGCAATCACTGATAACTCATCAAAGCAGTTCAGCTAGTGCTGCGTAACACACATGGAATTCCTTTCATTCATTCCTGGTGCCAATACTCTGAATTCAAAGATATTTAGAGTGTATCTGGAGAAGATTTAGTGGATGTTACAAACTTCGAGTATTCAGGCCTGTGTACAAGCAAAGTCAGGGAGACATTATGCAGCTAAACACAATACATGTGTGAATGTTGTATGACGTTGTGGGGCCACAAGGGAGCCAACAAAAGATATAGGTCCTTGTTAAGTAAGTCATAAGTCATCACTCTCTGAGCAGACACTGGTTGGGGGCAGAGTAGAGGAGGAAGGAGATGGTCATAATCAGCATCCAAAGAGAGCACAATCCAAGCCAGGGGAAATGATAAGAGGGAGACCCTCAAAGAGGAGAGTCCAGAAGCTGCCCTAATATATTTACCTGTTTTGCTGATACTTGGAAGCAGTTCTGCAGAGAGATATGTCCACTATCAACCAGGGAAATGACAGCAGTGAATAAGGGAAAAGGACTATAGTGAAAGCCAGATCTGCTGGTTAAAGGGTCAGTTCACCCTAAGCCATTTAGTGTTTCCTCCACTACTCAGGGACTTGGTGGTGAGTTCCTGGGTCTGCACACCTGCTGTGCCCATGACGAGGGTCTTCCACCATCCCGTTTGGATTTGGATTTATTTTACATTATTTTTTGTTTCTTTTTAGGTTTGTGATGCGTGCATCGAAGACTTAATCACCTTTGTGAACAAAAAAAGTGAACCGTGAAATCACAGCACACTAAAAAAAAAAGTGCATGAGGGTGCTTTGGTCTTAAATT